ACCTTTTCATAGAGGAGACTTATCAATGTTTTAATAAAATTGAGGTATATACAGATATAAGAAAATACAACATGTTTGAAACTGTTCCTGAGTGCACGTTTTAATGCTCAAATAGCCGCTATGAAACAAACGTAACATATGGCTTATAAAGAGTTGTGGGTACCAACTAGGAAAAGAATTTTGGAATAACACTTTTCAATAGAAGATGTTTACAGTCAGCCCACAAAACTTTCACAGCACACTGCAATTTTACAAATATACAGCACAGATATTCGACAGGAGACATTGATTTGAGCAGGTTCTTTTTAGAATATGCCCAATATCAGAAAATATGTTATGTACTTAAAAGAGTACACTGTATTCTCTGTAGGGTTGAAACATTTAAAATGTTTTGCATATTTTTTTTTCCCAGGAGATTAATGTTGCAAAGACCTAAAGAAATTTTAAAGTTTATCAGGCTAGATTAAGTAGGATGAGGCTTTGAGCAAACTGATCAAGTGGAAGGCATCTCTTCCCAAGGCAGGGGGGTTGGAACTAGATGATCTTTAAGGTCCTTTCCAATCCAAACCATTCTGTGATTGTATGAAGTTAGTCCTGCAAACACAGACAAATGCACACTTGCTAAAGCTAAGTATAGAAATTTCTACATCTTGCGTTCTTCAGATTCCCACTGTTGCTTGTTTTTCAAAATAGTTTCACTTTTTTATTATACCTTTTTTTTTCAGGTTCTCATGTTTCCATTCTATAATGGAAATAGTATTATTGCACTGCCATTTTCATATTTAGCTTTTAGCTAATTTCTCAATATTTTCTTTTTTTTTTCATTTCTTCTTTTTATGTTCATTTTCACTCATTTTGTGTTTTCTTTTCTGTTAAACTTCCTTACTATATAGTTACACAGTCATCAACATCTCAGAAAGCATAAGCCTAGATTGAAGTACATGAAGACATTTCTTGGCAAGACTGTGGATACAGTGAGTTCTAGTGAAGCACATTCTAATGATGGAGCACATTTCTCATAACATTTCTTTATTAAACTGGTTAGTGAGGTCAATGATCCCTGTGTGGATATGGCTAGGCCCTTGTGGCTTTTACTTTCAGCACAGTCTTGGATTTGTCTCAAAAATTTTGGGGCAGTGAAGAAACACAGGGAAGGTCTTCCTTCCTTTTCCCTCACATCCATCGTTACAGAAGGCTGGCAAAGATGCTGTGGTCCTAAATACATGAGATTTTGGGAACAAAGTAGGTAAATTAATTTCTGTGTTAAACTATTCTCAGAAAACTCTTTGGGAGGAAACTTGAAATGTGTTTGTAAAGAAAATATTTTTAGCAAGAATGTTTTGTAGGAAGAATCAGCTTTGATGCCTTGGCAGATATTCTTGCAGAATGGAAGACAGAGTTAAAGGTAAGTGTAGCATGTCACCATAGACTTTAAATGTGGTCCTACAAAACCAATGAACACTGTATTCGATTCCTATAGTGAAATAGGGTATCTCATTACTGAGAACAACTTCTCCATTACCTTAAGGAATTAAGGACAGTTAGCTGCCAACACATGAAAGCTCTTCCTATTGTCTCCTGGTAGGCAGATGTGTATGTATTTCTGCTTTTCTGTGGGCTGCAGCTTCTCTGCAGGCATCTAGTATAGCACCTTGGTGGTTAATGACTAGGAAAAAAACAGGGTACTTTTGTAGATAAGTCAGGATACAGGAAGGACCGATGTGACCTATGAACTGAACGGAAAAGCTCTCCCTGGTACCATCGCATAAATGTTGGCTGTGTGAGCCTTAGGTGGCCTAAAGGGAAGAGCAGACATTTTGCTCTAACAAATACTGAAGAATGACTGGGATGGATGCCCAGTGTGTGTGTGTGAAACAAACTTGCTAACTACAGTTTGGGCCCTGTTCCATTTTGCTAAGTCAATATGCCTTCCCACAGCTGAGGACAAAGTGTATCAGAGGGCCAACTCTGTACCGTGTAGGAGTACTGTACAAGTGAGCTGACGCTAACCGACCAATTCTTGTCCACTGAGCCTGCTGTGAAATGTTGCAGGCAATTGTGAAAATGGCACAGGGTCTGCTGTTAAAGATCATTTTTGTGAGGGATAGTCTTGGATTCACTGAAAAATAGCTCTAATATCCTAGCCACACTGCCAAAGTTAAGCATGATCACAGAAACTAATGTGTGCAGAACTTATAGATTGGGAGGGAAAGATTCTACCAGCCTTTCTGACCATTGGATGAACACTGTCCCCATCAGGACATAACTGGAGTGTGAGCAAAAGATCTGAGAGTACTTAATGGTATTAAAGGCAAAAAAGTTAATTTCATTATGTCCCCAGTCCCAGGTAATTGAAGTACATTGGGAATATTTGGTTTGTCACGAATGATCCAACATAATAAAGTAACTCAGACTATCCCAAGACAATATTTCACATGCTTAGAAAATAAATCTAACACTTGATACAGCAATTCTTAATTCAGAAGAATCCTTACTAATGGGACGTTGTATGCAGAAGTTGTGTCCATGGCGATTTACAGGTACTGTGAATGCCTGGGGGAAAATGTTCTCAGTATGCTGCATGGCAGCCTAGTCACCTGAAAGCTTATCTTCATTTGTTTGAAGTCCAGCGGCCCTATTATGTATCATTTGCTAGCTAAAAGTACAGAAGTAATGTGTCTGTCCCAGCTGATCCGGGCAGAGTGAAGGATAGAAGGATAACGTGGAGTCCCCTTGTACATCTTGTGTTCTGTCACTGGAACACAGAATTTTGGAAACCTCAAGCAGTCAATGAAAAGCTAAAAGGATGATTGCTTACGCAGCTCACAATCTGCAGACAAGCCTGCACTTCTTGCAGGTATAGTACGGCATGAGAACTTATGCAGGTGCATGTCAGTCAAGATCTCTCTGTGGTGGAGGGGTAAGAGTCCAATTATATGATGAGATTCTGTATAATCTAAAATTATTTCTGATGGATAAATGCTAAAGTAGGAACGGAGTCCTAATGTCTCCCTTGAGACTCTTAAGGATTCAATGGCCATGAGATACAATTTTTATCCCTCTATCCTTAATCATATGGAGTTAAAGAAAAAGAAGCAATGTTTAAGGAACCAAGGCTCCTCATCATTGACACTCGTTTAATGAATTTAGGGATGTTGTATTTTGCTGGACGTGAGCTATTACTTGTGCTAGAACTTCTCTGAAGATGCTTCATACTGTGGAATGAATTGAACTTGTGATGTTTGTGAGCCTGTGCCAGACAAAGACTTTTTTATTGAGACAGCTTTATAGATATGAGGTGCAGTGAAGGGCAATAAACCAGCAGATGTGAAATAATCCCGTAAGAGTTATAATCCTGAAATATTTGGTATTTAGGTTATAGATACTGAGGATGAGTTGCTGTCTGTCCCTCTTCCTTGACACTGGGAAAATACACGTTCTCGTGTTATGATGGAGCCTATTCTGTGGCTACCAGTGCTAGCAGAATGCATCTCCTGCTAAAGCACCCTCTCAGAGGGGCTGCTCAGAAAGGGACAGAAAGACCAGCATAGTTTTTTTTTACTGATAAATAGGTGCCACCAAATAACAGTAAATGCAAATGGGACATTCTATGAGAAAACTGAAAGAAGAATTCAGAGGTGTTGAACAATAAGGGAGAAGGGCTAGTCATGATCCTTTGGTGTGTGCGTACTGTTGAAGACGCAACTTAAGCAGCTGAGCGTTTGACAGCTATATAAAGACAAAACATAAAATAAAATCCAACTACCACCTTTTCAAGCAAAATAAACGCTGGTAGAATTTCAGGAGGGAGATGGCGGTTTCCCTGTGTACAGCATGCATGCCACCTGTATGGCATGTGTGTGTGCAGTAGAGGCAGCTTATATCCCATATCCTGAAGTCAACATGACAGAACTCTGAAGTGAGCTATGCTCATCAAAGACACATTCAAGTACGTGACTGACCAATTTCATCTGCAAGTGCCAGGTGCTGCTGAGGAACATGGCAGTGCTGGGGAAATTCAGGGATCAAACTACAGAGTCTTACAACAGGAGTGTAGCAAGCTTCTGAAGGGGAAAATGAGCTCAAAGGTGGTTCTTCCCTACTGGAAATGATCCTATAGGTGGGTCCTTCCTGCTGGAAAATGACTACATATCCTCTCACATTGAGGCCAGCCTTTCAGACACAGTGATCTCAGCTTGTAGGACAAGGAACACTTGAGTGGTAATTGAGTCATCATCAGGCACGTAGTTTTTTTTGTTCTATACTACTACAAAGGGTAATAATAGAAACCTCTATCATTATTTAATTTACACTATAACTTTCTTTAGAGAATCTATTAGGCAGTATCTAAGAGAAAGACATTCTTATGCAAAAAAAATCTTATTCAGAAAATGTTCTTTTAATTTTTTTCTCCTACTGTATCATATTCGTTAGTGTTTCAGAGTCTTTTATTCTTCAAGTTCTTTATTCTTCATATTTCTTTCAGCCCTTTATGGGGCTACGGGCTTTGTACAGATGTATACATATGTCCAGTGATTTAGGCTGGAAATGACAAGATTTCTTAATAAAAGAGGAGTGAAGTTCTGGAGTAAACACCCAGAATAAATGTGAAACATAAGTTAACAAGTTCATTTAATTTGAAAATCGAGCAGTTTATGGAAAGCGATAGCCAATATGGTTGCTTATAGTAATCTAGGGAACTATCTCAAATACCTGAGAGGTTCTGTCCAGTTTCATGTTCTCCTTTATGTATAAAATAAAATATTAATGTAGATGTTGGGAAAAAAGAAAGATTTTACAAGTTATCTTTTTCATATTATCTCATTCTGCAGAACACACTGCAGTTATTTATAAATGTGTAACCACCAGCTGCCTTTTCTCACAGTTTTTTTCTCCCTCAAAAATACACTGATAAGCAGCAAACAAGGACCGACCACAGGACTACATACATTTGTAAAGAGTTATCTTCAAAAGCAGCACAATTGGGTTACATAAAAACCATGAAAAAACATTTAATAGGATTTCTTATGAACTTTTGGATTTCTTTTTCACTTGCTTTATATTTTCACAGTGGAGAAAGAGAAGAGAAATGTATAATTGAAGACATTCCCAGTGACACGTTGGTAATTGGTAGGTACCTCTCAATGCTATATGGTAATCTAACCTATGCAATAATAAAGATAGCTTGTAATGTGGCAGGAAATCTGTGATTGATAAATATGGTAAAAACGTGGTGATAAGAGAGAGGGCACACTGAAAATAATTCCTTACAGCAGGGGCTAGTCATAATGTCCTCACACATTGTGTGTATCCGTCACACAAAGAAATGCAGATTTCCAGAGTGCTTAACTGACTAGCGAAAGAAAAAAACCCGTCTTCTAATTCTGCAGCAGTGAAATTGCTGTTTCAACATGTGCTTCTGTACATTCTGACCGACTTATTCATATCAGAATTTGTGTAGCATGGTTTTCCCCATATGAATGGGAGAGTAACTTTTTTGATTAACGCTGTCTGGAAGGAAGCAATTCAAGATGTACTGACGTTCCATGTCACCTGGGATATCACAAGCATATTGAATTTGTCTACAAGACTGTAAATGTAAGATTGAAAGGGAGGGATAGTAAAAGATAATATATACTAATCTTCTTTATAAACAGTGTGATCAATATGAAAGACAATCCTAAAAATGTAATTTGAATACAACACATATGCTTTTGGAGGTCTCAGAGTTCCTCCTGTATGCTAATCTTGTCAGAGCACTAGGAGCAATCAGAAATTATTACTTGTTAATCAACCATTTTTGTAGTGTCCTAGAACATTTTCTGTTGCAGTAAAAATCTATTGCATTTCACAAAGTGAGCAATTTTAATCATAAGCACATGAAATGCATATATTGTTTTATTGTTAATAATTTATTTTTGATGAAAAAGCAATAAAGGTGTTTAATATTAAGCTATGTTCTACTTAACAGTTTTTTTATCTATGTTTTTACTCAGGGGTATACAAAGTGCAACGTTGGGATATACATAAACAAGATTTTCTTGAATCTGCTCCTGGTTTGGGAATGTTTGTGACTGTCACAACTCCTTTTGATGAGGTAGATATGCTTTATGAATGTTCTGTAGCATTTATGAGTTGACTTTTGGCAGTGGCAGGCAGCACTATCTATAAAAAGTAGACACTTTCGGGGAAAATGTAAATCCACAGTCTACCAGCTATTTCAGTATTTTGATGCTGAAACGTATAAGCACCTTGCGATTGCTATCAAAGTAAATAGAAACTACAAAGTTTGAATTATTTGTGTGGACAATTTTTGCATTACTAACAGATTTGGGAAACTGTCAGTAAGAGTAGTAAGTGACAACTAAGAAAACACGTTTGATTTAAAAAAAAAATGAAAATTCACTAATGAAGTAAAATGGTATAAAATGTACTTGAGCAGCAGAAAGGAATCCTGACGACAAACTAAACTGCAAAAATCAAGATTGCCATGAGGCTGCACATAGCCATCATGCATAGCAACTGCCTGGTTGCCATGAGGTCCTGAGCTTTTTTAGCAATGGACAATTTATTTCTGTGCCTAGACAAGGTCTTAGATTTCAAACTTTAGATGCTTTAGAGGACATCGGCTTTTGTACATTGCAGGAATCTATAGCATTTCCATTTTCACTGAGTTGAAATTGTTTACTTTTCTCTAATTCTATGCTGAAATTTGAATAAATTTAATGATTTCAGGAGGTGAATTGATTAATTTTTTACATTCAGTTCACAGTATTGTTTTTTGATTGTTTTATTGATATTTATAATGTACATACCCAACATATGTAACATCTGAATTACAGATCCTCTTGTCAAAACTGTATGGGCCACAAGGAACGTTTTCTTTTACATCCTATCTATCTGGGGAGCATACTATCTGTTTACAGTCTAACTCTACAAGATTTGTGGCATTTGCAGGAAGTAAACTGGTAGGTGCATTTCTTAAATATTCTTTGTTCTAGTACTAGGAATTAAACACAAACTGCAGAGTTTACAAGCTAGATTAGAAGTTGGTCTAACTTCTAGCAGATAATTCAATATTTCCTAGTGATTAAAGAAGGCAAACCTCGAATTATGAAGATGAAGAGATAAAATTACTGTACTAATATATAAGAAGTCAAGATTGAAGAGGCAAATCTAATAATTATAGGGTGATTTCATGTTTGTACAGTGCTTTGAATGTGAAAGATTCTGATCAATAAGAACAATTATTTGGTTCAAAAATACAGGTATGTAAGATTGACTAACACAAACACTTGTCATAAGGGCATTCCATGTCTTCACTAATCTAGATTGAAGTCTTAAAGAAAATGGAAATATTTTAATTTTTAAAAGATATTAAAATTAAGACTATATGAGCATACTTGATATTTTCTACTACCAACAGAGTTGGTCTCAATTGCAAAAGCACTTAGGTTGTAATAATAAAAAAATTTGTGGAGCTTATCAGCTAGAGATGATAAGGGGGATAAAAGCATTGGTTGGTCATAGTTAACTACATACCACGCATGTGATTCTGAGGATACACCAGGAGATTTTTATCTGGTATAGATGAAGACATCATCTTACATGATGCATGCACCATGTACAGTTCTGTTCATCCTACTTAAAAAAAGTGAATAGGTGCAGGGAAGGAGAACATTAATAGCACAGGTATTAAGTAGGGTGGTTTGTTTAGCTTACGAACATAGAAATAAAAAAAGGAAAATATTTCTCATATCTTCAGGAAAAAAGATCACAAAAGGTAAAACATTCTTTAGCTAAGTTAAATCTTTAAGTGGTCTTCTGTAAGAACCAGATCCAGTTGTGGTGATTTGAACTGCTTCAAACCAAAGTTTAATAAATTTATAGACAAAGGCTACCATAAGGTTGTGAGAAGGATGTCCAGATGTTTCATCAGCTAACTTTAAAAGAGCTGAAAGAAGATGTGCTGTTCATTTGTCATTGATGTCTGAGTAGACCAAATTTGTATCATGGTGACACCAAACTCTAAGATTTATGCAGATTATCTGTTTGGCTAAAACTTTTTTATTTTGTCTTAGGTACAAATTGGTGTCTAGGAGAAATTTTTCGTATTAGTTTTAGTAAAATTTTTAATTTGTGTCAAAATAGGTTGCATAATATTGTAATTTGCATTCTTCTCTTTTCTTTCTATGGGTCTCAGGTTTGTGGCATTTCTGCTGTAGATCATACAATAGCTTATAGGATATTGGGAGGTATTTCATACTGGATAAACCATGTGTGGAGAAAGAAAAAAAGATACCTTACGGATGGTTCTGCTTTAATACCCATGATAAACTGCAAATAATGATTCAGCTGCTCTCCTTCCAGTCTTTTATTCCAACTGTTAGTGGAGGAAACCTAGAAGTTCATCTACAAAAAGCTTACTGCAGTAGTATTGAAGAATGTAATTTCTTCAGTATTACGATGGAATGTGAGATATGATGAGCAGTCTTAATGGTGCTCATTTTTTTAAATAGTTCAGCCAAAAAAAAGATAACATTTTTATGGTGGTTAAATCAATACTAGCATAAAATAATGTCGTAACAGTAGTGAAGATTTTACATTTGTATAATTAATTAAAAAATAAAATTAATAACCTGATTCTAATTTTAGGAAGGATTTTTATAAGCAATGAAAAATATTTTCCTGTAATGAGTTTAAGGGGAAATTATTGATTGTTTCTTTTTTCCTACGGAATTTTGAAAACACAGAAGACACAGTAATGAGAATATTTTTTCTGTTTGCAGCGTATCCATTTGGACATTAGAGTTGGAGAACATTTTTTGGATGAATCTGTTCTTCAAGCCAAAGACAAAGTGAATGAAGTTAACTTTAGACTAGAACATCTAATTGAGCAAATTCATCATATAGCGAAAGAACAAAACTATGAAAGAGTACGTATGTTCCCTAATGGAAATGTGTAAAAATATTGTACATGGGCTTATTGATTTATAAAGTATTATAAGGTTTATTATCTAATTGCGGTGTTATTTTTAACTAACTCATAAAAATCTATTGGTATTTAACCAACACAACCTACATTACTGTGCAAAATATTTTTAAGCTATAACATAAAAACTAATTAATCATTGTGAACTCCTGCTTATAGCAACAGGTATTATTTTAAAGCAGGAAGTTCCAAATATAGTTTTCTGGGACAGAGTCAGTAACAGCAGCTGAGCAGGTGGCAGGTACCATTGCTGGTGATGTTGCCAGCTGTAATTTCCATGCTGCTTTGTGTATACAAACTTTATTGGAGTGGGTAAGGAAATGACTGAGTGTGAATTTATATATCTCCATGCAGCTAGAAATAAACCTTTCCTTCAAAAATGTACACCCGTTGTCTTCACTTTTCTATACGTATGCAGGCAGGCAGACTGTATTTAAAATGTATCAACTAGTTACCTAAAAAAAGAAATTTGGCTGCAAAAAGGTTCTTGACTGCAATATGAGAACGATTGTAAACCTAAAAAGGCTTAAGTCTGTAGTAATGGAACATATTTAGCACAACATATATTTTGTGAACAAGGGAAAGCTCTCTTTGCCTTTCTGCTTCAGGATACAGTGTGTCTGCTTCTCAGTTTTGATTTGTAAAGATATCCACATTATGGATAAGAAAAAATGTGAATTTTTATCAACGTGAAAAAAGTGTTTGTTGACTAACATGCAGAAGAGGTATGTCTGTCTAGTTACCAAGACAGCAGCATGGAACATACAGATGCCAGAAGGTAATTATACTTTTCCTTTTTTCTTCAGGAGCGTGAAGAAAAATTTCGGAAGACAAGTGAAGAAACCAACAGCAATATTTTATGGTGGGCTATTGTACAAACATTAATCCTCATCTCCATTGGAATCTGGCAAATCAAATCTCTCAGAGATTTTTTTATATCTAAGAAGCTTGTTTAAGTCTTACAAAATAAATGCACAGATAAAAAATTGCACACCATGTAACACCTAACATCCAAAGTAACCCTGTATCAATGAGAAAATTGGTTATATATAACTCTCAAGTTTCTCTCATCTTCTACTCTGGTTCTTACTCTAACTCTGGTTTCTCCATCTATATTGTTGCCTCTGGCATCCCCTTACATTTTCCTTCTTGAATCCCATCTTTTATCCATTTCTTTCCTCTGCAGATATAAAGCTAAAACTAGAAGAGGGGCTCAAATAATAATAATTATTATTATTATTTGTAAGGAAAAGAGGAAAAAGCAACAAAGAAGGAGAAGAACAAAACCCAAGAAAGACAAGTGATGCAAATGAAAACAACCGCTCACCACCAACTGACTGATGTCCAGCCAGTCCCTGAGTGTGACCCCCCTGACGACCTCCCCCCTAATTTTATTGCTGAGCATGACACCACGTGGTATAGGATATCTCTTTGGTCAGTTGGGGTCAGCTGTCCCATCTGTGTCCCCTCCCAACTTCTTGTGCACCCCCAGCCTCCTCGCTGGTGAGATGGTGTGAGTAGCAAAGGCTCCTCTGTGTGAGCACTGCTCAGCTGTAACCAAAACATCCTTGTGTTATCAACACTGTTTCCAGCGTAAATCCAAAACATGGCCCCATACAAGCTACTATGAAGAAATTTAACTCTATCCCAGCCAAAAACAGTACATCTACTTGCTTAGTAATCTTACTTGATACTATCATGAACAGTTTGGTACTTCAGACTGACTAGGATTCAGATAGTAGGCAGAGAAACAACCGTATCCCCTGCAGGGTTTAATTTGGTGAGAGTGTCTTGAACTCAATCTACGTATATGTAAACCTAGCTTTTCCTCAAATATAATTGTGTTTTCTTTTAAAATATTCGAAGTCTTAAGTGATAGTGGAGCCCATGCTTATTATTATGATCAGTGATTGCAGCAATTACCATGGAAGAGACACACCCAGACAAAAAATTTGGCATTACATTTACTTTTTGCTCCCAGGTAAGCACTAAAAATTCAGCTATGGGTCGAGATCTGGCCTTTCCTGCAGTTATTTATGTAAATTATTGTATTTACGAAGGATGCCAAAGTAAATCAAATTACAGGTTTCTTGGTAAACACTGAATTTTTGACCTATATATTTTATTTTATATTATTCTTACATTAAATTAAAAAAAAAAGCAGTAGTAGCGCAAGAAGGAGATGGAAGTGGTTATAACACGACCCATCTCAGCACTTGCTAACATGTAAAGGGACATTCTTGAAAAAGATTCTAGAGAGCACTGTGATAGCAGAATATTGTGATTTGGCTCCCTATTTGTCTTCCAGACCCCCCTTTGCTAGTCTAAAAGGTAGTGAAAGCTGAAATATCTGTAGACCAATTATTCTTTTAAATGCACCGTTTTCTTTCTTTTTTTCTATCTTCTCACTTTTTTTTTTTTTTCTTTCATTAGCAAGGAAGTGACATTGCCCTTCAAGTTCACTTACATTTACAGTATGGGAAGGAAAATATAGCTGGGAGTATGTAAGAATCCATAAAGCTGATACAAAGTAGAGACAAAAAGCAATGCTCTATGGACCAAATAAATCAAAATAAAATCTCATAAAGATACTCACTGAGGTATGTCCTTTATTTAAAAGTTCAGACACTTTAGAATTGTCACTTGAAATTCCCAGTAAATGTTACTATATTCACTTTTATAGAGCACTCACAACAGGTCTTTGGTGGTGGGAAAGAAGAAAAGATGTGTTACAACCATATAGTAGTGAAGTCCAAGAAGAAAGTTTAATAAAGGGTTGCTACAAGATTGTACGGCTCCTAACTACATCCCAATGACAAACGTAACTCATCTGACTTACAATACACTCAAGCTTTTAAACCAAAACGGCAGGGACCATGTCAGAATTTATAAGTGAGTTGATTGTGCTCCTCTGTATTAATTAGGTCTATACACAAACCAGCACTGAAACTTGGAGCCTAGACTATAGCTTCAGAGCGATTCCTTCTTCATCTATAATAACAATAAAATATCTTTGCTTTGATTAAATGTTTTCAGTCTCCTTCAAGGTTTTTAATTAACTCAGTAAAGCAGAAGCTGAATCACAGCTCTTTTGGGAAGCACTTTGGAGACAGTATTCTCTGTGAAGTTAAAAGCTGGAGGCTCCTCCTATGCAGTCAGTGCCTCTGTCGTACTCATAGCTACAGCCTGCACTGCAAGTAGGTCTGTAAGGGAATTTCCCCCTAAGATTTTAATCAAGGGGAATTAGCAAACCCTGCATTTTTTTTTCAGTCAAAGAAATGAAAAACAAAACTCTTTGCTTTACTTTTTTTCCTTACCAAAAGAAGCAACAACAATGATCCTGTGACAGTAAATTAAGAACCTTCCCATATTCCTGCATTTAAAAGAGTGAAAAGCCACCAGCGCTTTCCCCAGGCCTGCTGTCCCAGCCGCAGCCCCTGCTGCATGGCCACCTCTGTGAGGAGAACAGGGCTCCTGGCAAAGCACCAACCCGGGCCCAGGTGGCTGGGCCGGTTAGGTGTGAGGAAGGCAGGGGGAAATCTCCTGTGTGTGCACCCTCTCAAGTCTGGCAGGGAGAGGCCAAAAAAAACCCTTTTTTTGGGGTGTGAGGGTCAAACTGTGCTTCCCTCGGGCCCCCCCCCCCCCGGGTGGGCGGGGCACGGCCACCCCTCGCCTCAGGGCCCAGCAGTGCCTCAGAGCAGAGAAGCATGGCGGAGACAGGCCTGTAGGCCTTACACTGGGGTGAGGAGGGTCAGTGTCTGCCTCAGCCGCCGGCTCCCTGCCGGACCCTCCTGCACCTCTGCCCCCTGGCTGGCCCC